GCACCATTTTACACTTCCACCAACAGTGAATAAGGGTTCCAGTTTCTCCACAACCTCACCAGCATTTGTTGCTTGCTGTTCTGTTAAATTTTGCTGTTCTGACTGGGGTGAGATGATATCTCATAGTTGTTTTTGTCCTTAATTCTAAGGAGCATGCTGGCTACACTTCTTCTGGGACAGATCTGTTTGCTCTGTGGGCAGTCAGCCTTTATTTTTTATTTATTTTTTTTAAAAGGCCTAGCTGCATAGTCTTTATTTTTGAAAAGAAGGGTGTAAAATCACTTTTGTCTCTTTCAAAAAATTGAGAGGCATGAGACAAAGTGATAATGAATTTTATAATAATTCACACTGTTCAGTATGAATGCATTCCAGGCTCAAAATCTGGTCACATCTGAATTACAAAGCTGAAATAGATGTGAGTCAAAGGGGAAAAGTGGCAAGGAGAGGAGGCGAGGAGAGAATTTATGCTAATAGAAATGGCATTTATACCAGGAGGTGACAGTCTCGAGCATTGCTAAATGCTCAAAGGTCTAAACTCTCAGATTTTAAGAAATAGAGGGGTCTTTGAGATTCTTACTTTACTTTCCATTTAGAAATCTTTCAAATAGCCATCTAGTCTCAGAGTAAGTATCTCTGGTAAGAATTTTCTTCTTTTGGAGATTTGTCCTATTCCTGGACATTTTTAACAGTTTTGAAGGTCTAAATTTTTAAATTTTTGAAACTCTGAATTTTTTAGTTGCTTGAGCCAGCTTTTATTAATACCTGCTGAGTAGTTACATGCCCTCCACATATCCTCTCATTACCAAGTTCCAATGAGTGGGGACTCCGGTTTTGTTTTTTTGTGTGTGATATAACTGAAGCTTTGGGAGTTTCTGAATGAGTATCAGAAATGGTAGTCTGATTCCAGAACCCAACCTTTGAGCATCATTCCAGCTGGCCTTCCACTTTCTTGTGCTAATCCAGGCAGCCAGTGTGAGACATGTCTAGAAGTGCTCTAACGTTATTAATGGCCTGACGTGTATTTAGAATGTTAGTAACTTGCATATAAATTGTACAAGTGCGCAAGGATCCTTGGAAGCACCCTTGGTGGTGTAATTGATCACGTGTTGACCACTAATAGAAAGGCCAGTGCTTAGGTCCACTGAGGGGGGAGAGAAAGATGGGCATTCTCTTCCCACCAGGATTCATAGCCTCAGAAATTCAGTGGAGCATGGCTGTGAGACAGAATCGGTTCCGTGGCAATGGCTTTGGTTGTTTTTGTTTGTTTGTTTTTTCTTAAAGGGATGCTTGGCAATCATTTCCAAGTGGCCACAATTGAGATGCAGTTTTAAAGCAATGGCTCTTTGGTGGCCCTCTGCCCGCGGGAGGCTGAGTAGAGCTGAGTCCTTTCTGAGCGTTGGAAATGTGGGCTCCACACTTACCGTTTCCACCAATGGGCAGGACATGTCTGTCGAGCCTCAGTGTCCTCATCTGTAAACTGGAGGTGGGGCAGGGGAGGTCGGCTGATGTATTTTTTTTAGTATACTTTATTTAAAGTGCACGCTTTGGTGAAAGCTGACTGAGGCTCAGCTGGCATCAGCCCCTGCTGATGTATTTTGAATGCCTCTACACCCCCAGCAAAACAAACTTTGTCTCACACACTTGGGGCATCTTAGGAGGGGCTGTTCCTTGTAAAAAACACCATGCTTGGAAAGGTGGAAGGTCAACGAAAGAGAGGAAGACCTCCAACGCAATGGACTGACACAGCGACTGCAGCAATGGGCTCAGGTGTCAGAGGTGATGAGGATGGTACAGAATAGAACAGCGCTCAGGTACCAGTGTTCATAGGGTCGCTCGCTATGAGTTGTGCTCGATTTGACCAAATAACTAACCAGATGACCACCAAATAACACCTCCCGCCATCCCTCTGACTCTTCCTGAGGCCTCTCGCTTGTTTTGTGCAGGTCACGCTCATTCACTCCCAAGTCCCCCTCGCTGACAAGGAGCTCCTGCCTTGTGTCCGGCAGGAAGTGAAGGAGATTCTTCTCCGGAAAGGCGTGAAGCTGCTTCTGAGTACGTGCAATTCCCCTCCCTCCCCGCCTTTCTCCTGCCTGGGCAGACTGGGCCCTGCGGGTTGGTTAACCCCAGGCTTCAGGTTTCCTGCTAAATCCTGGGATTGAGCAGGAAGCACCCTAGCAGCCTTTTTGAACACTGTCTTAATTACGACGCAGTACTGCTGTAGCAAAAGATACAAGTAAGTGGCTTTCAAGAGTAGACATTTCTTTTCTCATAGGTCTAACGGCTTCAAGTCAGAAGCAGGGTCTGAGCTGGGCTGCTTTTTTCTGCGAGCGGCTCTCCCGTTTCGGGGTGTCTGCTGGCAGTCCTTGGGGTTCTGTGCTTCAGGTGGCACCTCTCTCCCTCCCACAGTGTGTGCCTCTCTGTTTATTCTTTTCTTTTTATAACCCTGGAGTGATTCACTTTAGGACTTACCCTACTTGGGCATGATGTAATTAACATAACAAACAAAAAACCAGAATCTAAAGCCACTGGCATCAAGTTCATTGTGATGCACATACCCCTGCACTGAGTTTCCAAAGCTGTACTAAACGGGAGCAAACTCCCCTTTCTTTCTTCTTCAGTCGGAGTGACTGGTGAGCTCAGGCTGCTGACTTTTCAGTTAGCAGCCAATACTTAACCTGCTACACCACCAGGGCTGCTTAGAGGCTCTTCTTTCCAAGCAGGATCTTACCAACAAGGGCCAGAGATGCAGGGGACACAGTTCAATCTATAACAGACATCAACATCTGGCAGCAATGTCCTTAGATGGTGGGATGCTTATTAAATGATTTTAAAAAATGTATCTAAAGGATTTGTCCTGAATTTTGGCATTTTTGTTGTAGAGGGAACAGATGGACTAGTTTGTTATTTTGTGGGTGGTGGGAAATCTGACACTTATCCAGAGCAAGAGGGAAGAGAACCACTCAGTATTTTTTTTTTGTTTTGTTTTGTTTTTATTTTATTATTATTTTGTGTGTCTGTGTACCATCAAATCAGATCTGACTGGTACAGGAGGAGATTGTCCCTCCTTTCCCGGCAGAGCATCTGGTGGATTCGAACCAAGCACCTCTGGGATTGCAGTGCAGCTTCTTGCCACTAGGCCACCAGAGCTCCTGCCACTCAGTATTTTAGGTGGTGTTGTTGTTGTTGTGTGCTGTCTAGTCAGAACTGACTCATAGCTGGCCCTCCAGCAGATTTTCAGAGGCAGTTAATCGCATGGGAGGAGACTGCCCATTCTTTTCCTGAGGAGCGGCTGGTGGATTTGAACTGCGTGCCTTTGGCATTGCAGTGCAGCCTCTTACCACTCAGGGTGGGCCTCCAATCCCATGCCTCACGAGCCTGGGCTCTGTCCTCCTCGTTTTTGACAGGAAGGGGGTTGAGGTGTCTGATCTGAGACTTCCCTCCTGCCACCTTTCCCTTTCATCACCTGCTGCCCTCTTTGCTTTGGGGCAGTGGGTATCAGGGTCTCCTCTGCTTTTCCTCTTTGTTAATGGTGCGGCGGGAGCTTTTATCCTGCCTAGTTAGACTATTCCAGCTGGCTTTCAGGGAGATGTATTTAGGTCTTGTATTGAATAGCATTCCCCACAACTTCTTGGGACGTTCAAACTCACTTGCCCAAAAGGCTTCTCAGAACTTTTCCCGCTGGATCCCAGGAGGCCCCCTGTTGAGCCTGGTGTGCTTCTTGGGGCAGGCGCGTGGCCTGATGAAGGGGCGTGATGGGAAGATGCTCTAGTTGGACCCTAGGAGGTTATCCTTCCCTAGGCTTAGTCCTGGTGTGGGCTTGGTGCGGGCGCAGGGCCCACCTCTGCTGGCCTCCTCGTCATGGAATCCCATGTCCCACGTGACAGGCGAGCGGGTGAACAACCTGGAGGAACTGCCGCTCAACGAGTACCGGGAGTACATCAAAGTGCAGACGGACAGAGGCACGGAGGTAGCCACCAACTTGGTGATCCTCTGCAATGGCATCAAGATCAACAGCTCTGCCTACCGCAGCGCCTTTGGTAAGTAGGCGGTGAGGCGACGGCTGTGCACCCTCTGGCAGCCTTCATGCTCCATCAGGTGAGTCTGAGGGAAGATCGCCGTGCCTGAGGGCCACTCTCCCTTGGAATCAACACCACCCAGCCTTTCCCCACTTTATCTCATCCGGTCTCTTTTGAGTGCCCTAATCAGACTTTAAATGCAGGTCAAGCTCTGCTCTTGCAGTGCCTTCAACAGCTGTGGAATGATGATCAAAGTTACTGTCGCTGTGTGCTGTTGAGTCAAAACTGACCCATGGCTGGTGGATTTGAACCCTGTGCCTTTGAAATGACAGTACAGCTTCTTATCACTAGACCACCTGAGCGCCCTGATCAAAGTGACGAGAATCTTCTAAAATTCAGGCCTGCCCCCTAGTGGTTAGAGTTGGGAACAGG